AAAAAAAAAAAAAAGAAAGGAAAAAAAACCAGGCATTTAGAGACATACAGACAAATACCTAGAAAGAATCAATGGAAAAAATCAAAAGTGCTTGTCTTCATCGTTTTATTTCCTAATAGCAAGAAATTACTTGATTCTAAACTACGGGCATGTGTAAATAACTGAATAAGAAGAAAAAGCACCAGTGATGGATGGGGCTACTGCAGATTCTCAATAAGGAGAAGCTGACGTTACTCCCAAATACGTAATACTTATTATCTATTTAAATGTGTTTACAGATAAATATTAATTACAAATTAAATTAAATATTTCACACGTTTAAGATTTAATGAAGAAATCTCTCTTCAATGTCTGGAATGAAAGCTCCAGGTGGCCACCATCAGCTCAGACACGCTGCTCAGGGCGACTCTGACTGTTAAGGTGCAGGGTAAAGTTTGCCGCTGCAAATGAAGTGTGCATGTAGAAGTGTCACGTTTTTCTTGTTCTCATGAGGTAAAGCACTACCCGAGCTCACTATGCTGTATCATTTTTCTCTTTTTGCAAACTATTATCACCAGTCAACAGCTCTCTACTAGGAGATTCGCCACTTCTCCTTTCTGTAACTAATCCAAAGTCACCTGGGCAAGCTGGCCCATCCTGGTGATAAGTTACAACATCACAACCATGGAGAGCAAAGGGACACATGTGCAAGACAGGCCCCTCCCTAAGGTGATAGCCCTCCATCCAGCCCCACGAGCACAACACCAGCCTGAACTAAGCATGAGGAACTGAGGACATGATAAACAGGGCACACTGCACTCTACCTCACAGTCAGGGGTGAAAACGCAGGTGCTCTCTGAACTCAAGGCACAAGGGGGAGAAGCAGCCCTGACTTCTCATTCATTTTCATTAACAAAACCCCCCAGCAAGGAAAAGGACAGCAGGCTAAGGGAGGGGAGCAAAAGAAAGGTACAAAGGCCAGGGAGCCATTCTAGAGCCCTATGAAATTTCCCAATTCAACAGATTTCCATTCTTTAGCAGTTATTATATTGAAGAATATGTAGGTTTCTTCAGTCATGATATTGCTCCAAAGACACACTGTTTACAGAGCACATGCCCCAAGCGGTACTCTATCAGAGGGCAAGGGGCCGAGACAGGGCAAAGGATGCACACTCCACAGCACCAATTTCAGCCTAACCTCACAGGGGCTGAGGAAGAAGGGTTCCATCCACTGTTGTTAGTGTCACAGGAAGCTGTATTTAATCACTATTTTATTATTATGGTTTTTTTTTCCCTTTCCCTTTTTTAAAAAGCTCTCCTGAAACTGCAGCTTGTCTGGTCCAACATGATAGTCCATGACAGCCTAAATCACTATGTGCTGAGCAAAAGAAGTCAGTTGTAAAAAAAAGTATATGCTATAGAATCGCATTTATATAAATACAAAAATAAGTGAACTCATCTTTACTATTAGCAATCAGGACAGCACATGCCCTTGGAAAAAGTAAACCCAACCACGCAGTCCAGGGGTTGGCCATGTTCTGTCTCTCCCTCTGGGTGCTGCTCACACAGGAACGCTGGCTTTGTAAAACCTTATCAAGCTATGTGCATACGACACATACACTTTTTTATACGTACATTGCATGTCAATAAAAGTTAGTAAGTGAAGCAGACTGAAGACAATTCCTCCCCATGCCCTAGCCCAAAAGGGAAAAGTGATCCTAACCAGGCAGTAATCTATGCCCACCATGTCCCTTCTTAATGGACTCTCAATTCCTACAGCTAAACCACCACCCACCAATATCTTGCATATTCAACTTAACCAAGTATTTTATTTTACACACTGTTCTGAAATTATCCTAACAATCCTTAACTGGGACATCCTAGAGTGCCACCTTCACACAAACTCCACCTTCTCCTCAGTTCTCTACAACAAGTACTTATACCTATAATTTCTTTTATAGAAGAAGAAAAGCTTGTCAAGAAGTGAAAGACCCAATTCCTCCTCCAATGTTTACTATTAACATTTCCCAGTGCTCTGATCTTATGTAAATACCTATCTTCTCTAAGCTTCAGTTTCCTCATAATGTATTTCATCCAATAGAAGATGCCAAAAATTAGACATGCCCCGTTATTTTATATTCTACCAAGTGCCGTCAATTAAATTATGGCATACCATCAACTGTAAGACACATGCTGCTTTCAGATGTGTTCAAATGTTTAAAAAGAAAAAGGTCTTCAAATGGATAAAATATGGTATGTTAAAGATGCACAGTATTTCCCATGTTTATTGAACAAGGGAATTAAAAAGATTTAACAAAAAAGATTTTGATGTAATTTCTTGCATGCCTTGGAAATACACTTTGTGAACTTGTACCAAAGCAAGGTTACTTTCCAGCACTAGGAGGATGCCGGAAGTCCAGGCCCCTGGACCGTGGAGGTGGTAGGAGATCCCAGGGACAGGAAACACTTTAATAGATGTAGTCACTTCTCCCAGAAATGAAGGATCGCGGAAGCAACCACCTCACAAGTATAATCCTATCTCCGAACTCTGAGAACGTCAGGAGCTCACCTCATACTTAGCAGTCAACAGATGGAAGACTTGTGGGTATGGCAGTGATAC